TATTATGAAATGAAAATGAAACTTGTGTTTGTATTTTTAGAACATACTAATGTAATCTAAAGAGTTTTCCACACGCGTTGTATGACACAATTTTGTGTAATTTTGTGAACTTGGCAGAGGGAAACATCTTAAGACGGCAGTCCATAGTTTTAAATTTGTACAAGATACAGTCGGGCATCCAGCCCCGTAGGGCTAAATCATGCCTGAACTTCCCATATCGAGCTGTGGCAGTGACATTGCACCCTCAAGTGACAAACTCGATGAGACCGTGGCCATCTCCAGTGCTACAACATCACTTCTGCAGGCAGAGCCCATCTCATAGCTGCTTTATTACAGGGGTGGTAAACGACCGTTCTGTCCCGTCCTGGCTTGCCAGGGCACAAACACTCACAGGCATATTCTGATGGGAGCACGGTTCCCAGACAGCAGCAGTTACAGGTGGTTGACCTTTCTTACTCGGGACACCGTAATTCAGCGTCACCTCAAGGTTCAGGGACAGCGATGCAGCAGGAGGCAGCGGCTGCCCTGTGGCTTTCCGATAGCTGCAATCTTCAGAAGCAGCCCTGCGTTCTGCACAAAGCAAGCAGGAGGGCGCTGCCTGCTGCCGTTACTATTGCAATTTCCCTGACCTCAGCCCTCCCCAAGCTGCACATTTCCCTGCTGTGCGTTGATCTCTATCTGGCTTGGTCTGAGCCCCTACAAGGACTGGGCAACCTCTGCTGCAGGCTGACTTGGGAAAATCTGTATTCTGTGTACTTCTGCAAAGGCAAGGTGTGTTCATCTGAATAACATGGCTAAAAGCTCTGTTAGATTGTCAGTGACAACAAACACGTGGAAGAAAAGATAAAAATCATGCTGAGTTCTTAATTGCTCTCCTTACCTTGCTTTTTATAATGACCTTGAGACAAACTATTGGCATAGGGACTGAAATACCCTCCTTAATACTGTTGTAGCATAGGAAAACCCTCACATTTGCCTACTGCATTTGGTTATCTTCTAAGGATAAATAATATTCATCTTTAGGATAATCTCTCTGCTCTCTTTAATGACTGGTATTTATTTTATTAAGTAACTTATTTATTGCTAACTTAATAGCAAGGGAACACTGTGTGGTAACTCTTCTGTCTGTACTATAGGAAGATCTAGGTAAAATGGACAGCACTCATCTTTACTTTTCTAGTTGTATTTATGTCCTTAATGTTTTTTAACATATTTTAAAGGACTTTTTGCAGCCTGTGTTCTGGTGCTGTATGTTTGCAGATTACATTTAATTCCTTTATTGCTTTGTTTAGTGGAGGAGCGCAATTTTGTAGAGATGCACAGATGGCCTTCTGATTTGTACCTGAAGCAGCTTGCTGATTACAGAAACTATGTCCACTCTCAGAAATGCCATTGCATAGTAATGTAGAGAAGACTGAACATACAAAGTGCATCATGACTGGGAAATCTCAGACTGGGAATGATACGGAGTATAAAAATCATGTCAAGAGCAAAAACAGATACTGATCTTCCCTGAAACACTGTATGCCATGCTGTAGTGCACTTCTTAATGCTCCTTGCTTTGATAATAAACCACTCTACTTTTTTCGTTAAAGTATTGAGAAATGTATCATGAAGATTTCTTTCAAGCACAAGGATTTCACACCCATGGGGATTGAACGCAGTACAAGACAGTGTCATGACTGTAATCTGTTCCCCCTTCTAATTACTTTATTGGTTATTACAGTCATTTTCATGTTTATTTTTGGCTGCTATAACAGCCTCTGTTGAAAACAGATTTTTTTGTAAATCTGTGTACAGTACAAGCACAGTAGCAGTGCAGAGAAGCTGAGAAGCCAACTCATAAGTTCTTTAAATATTTCGGAATGCAAAAGTTTACTGCAGCGTCTGTTGGTTTGCAAAATAAAGGGTAGGCTTAATAAGCATGTTAGTAACTATTCACTTTCTACTTCAAGTCTGTAGTTCCTTTTACTGAGACTTTTGCAGTCGTATGAGCAGATATTTTAATTCCAGAGAAATGTCTGTACACCACTATATTCTCTAGTGCCTCTCAAATACCTAAAAAATGAAATATTTTTTCCTCCCAGTAAATAGGAGAAGAAAGTCTGTTTTAATAATCCGTAAAACACCTTTGTTAGTATGGTCATATTGTATTTTCCACCCTAAGGAAAAAAGTCAGGAAGAGCTAAATCCACTTGGAGCATATCCATACAGTGCTCGTAGGGACTGGGAGGAAAGGGAAGGGGGTTGACAGCCATTCATAGGTTTTGTGGTAGAAAATTCACTGGCACTAGTGACTTTTTTGGGAAAAGTGGGTCTTGTAATCCTAGGTCCCCACTGGTAGCTGACAGCATAAATGTCTGATGTGCTGGTCGTGGAGGGCGGTGACCCTCATGGGTACACCAGTCCTATGAGGAACATCAGCCATTGTGATGGGACTTAGAGCTTGACCCTCCCCAGTGGGGACTCACTTTAAATTGAATTATCATCATGTGCTTAGAAGCTACACCATGTGAGACAAACCTGATTATATTTTCTGGCTGTGTGGATTCTTTCTCAGATATAACAGATAAATCCTGGATATTATGACTAGGACGACCCTTGCAGATGCTATTGAGAGTGTTCTTGACCTAAATCATTCATTTGTTTTGCTGCTAACTTAGAAGTATGTACTAATATTAATGACAAAATGAACCCAACCTTTACAGAAGGGTATTCATCTGAGCATAGATACTTTTCTGTAAGTTAAAACTTATCAAGCAAGTAAACCCTTCATTATCAGTCTTGTACATTTAATTCTGCTTTGCTAGCTGCTTTTAATTTTGGTATGTAGTCTTAGCCTAGAAAGACAAAGAAAAGACACTGAAATAAATTATTTAGTGTTTCCCCAATTTCTATAGTAGACCATCTCAAAAGTACTTGGAAGCTGGAGCTGTAAGATGAAGATGGAACAGCAAAATGCTGGAGCTGAATCTTTTTTTTTTTTTGCTTATAAGAATTGGGTTTATATTTCAATATGGTTTTATAGGTAAATTGTTCTTTTCAAATTCCATGCTAGAGTTGTAGGGATTTTTTTTTTCCCCAGCAATATTTTGCAGAGGTTGAGAGGGTATTTCCTTTCCTATTTCCGGACAAAAAAAAAAAGAGCTTGTGACTCAGCTGGCTTCTGCAGGCTCAAAATTCTGAGGTTAGCTTTATGTAAGAATGATAAATCATTTTTATTTTTAACTTTTCATCTGGAGATCCTAAAGTTCTTTGAAAGACAAGATATACTTATCTACATCTTGCATATAAGGAGTCCGAAATATAGAGCATTACATTGATTTTTCAAGATCACTAAAGAAAACTGAAAACGTTAAAGAAAAAAATTAGGAGGAAAATAATATATATTGAAATGAAATGTGAAAAGAGGTCATTTCCTATCACTATAGTAGAAATTTAAAAATGTAAGCGTAAGTTAACTGGATAGATACAAATAAAACTTGGAGTTTTTTGAAGCATAAGGTCATGAATAAAAATGACCACACAGCTGATCTGCGGCTTGCCTGGACACCTGTTAGCATCCTCAGTCACAGCATGTGCTTCTACCAGCAGCCAGCTCAGTTATCAAAAGTATGGCTTATATGCCTCATTCTGACTTCTTGTACAAAACTGATACAAAAGTTGTGTGAATGTTTGTGTTGCATGTAGTCCTAAATTTTTAATATTTTGAAAGCCTTCCCAGTTTTTTTGCTAGAAGTTTGTCTGTTGCTAATAATTTAAGTATAGATAGCACATAACAAAATACTATTTTTAACTTTCTGAAAATGTTTTGTAGGCATTTAAAAATAGGCCTAACAGGAATAAAAACACTTTATATCTAACCAAGAGGAATATTTTGGTATTATATATTTTAGTCAGTAGTAACCACAGGTTTTATACAGAGAAGCCAGGCAGTATAAAAATATTTATTATTTATTCACAGATTAATGCATACTACTATTCAGACATTAAAACAGATTTCCATTTTACTGAATATCCCCATAATGCTGCCTGTATCAGGTGCAGACGTGCTGTCCTTGCAGACATAGACTGTCTGATAAATTTAAATTCTTAGAACAATTCTTATTATAAATTCTTATTTTTTTTCTGTATGATGGTTTTCTGTAGAAATGTGTTTAGCTTAAAGCTATTTTTAAAACTGATATTTTAGCATTCAGAAACATGACTGAAAGTAGATCATGATGCTTGGTGAGTTTCTGTCAGTAATTTTTTTTAGCGGAGGCTTTAGGACCATATCCATCATGGATAGTCAAGAATTAGGGCAGTACTGAATTTGGTATTTATGAATAATTTTGTATGGTAGAAAGTAAAAATTGCTGTGGTATAAAAAACCCCCTTTATACTATGGAATAAAGCAAAAATCAGAAACTAGCTGGGAAAAACGTTATTTAAGCAAGTGGTTTTGAAAAAAGTAAAATGTCTGAGGAGGAAGTCTTCCACTGGTCCCAGCACCTCCCAGACTCCCAGGGCGTCGGCAACATTGGGGTCAAAGAAGGAAGCCAGTGGCAAATTCAGGTGCCCATAGGCAGGTCTAAGAGGGTTTGGGATTACAGTTTCATCTTAGGTTTAAGTGGAGTTTCAACTAAACTAACTCTCAAAATCCACTTTTGGAAGACAATTTTTTGAATAATGGATTGCATCGTGTAATTCTTGCTGTACCGATATCTGTGTATGTTTGTCCCAAGCTAGCACTAAGCTTTATAGAGACTAAGAAAGCTTTCTGCACTAATAACGTTTTCCACATGATAGTTAAAAAACCTCTGCTATCGTCCTTTAGGTCTTGATGTATTTGATTTGAAAAAAACTTTTAGAAGGAAGTATTTTATTAGGCATATGCTGAAACTCCTGTATGTTTTTCTTTTAATATACACTGATGAAATGTACATGTTTTTAGATTGAGTATGTACAATTTTGTTACAAAATAAAAAATTTTCTCTAAGCAGTCTCATGCGATTATTTATGCATCTGCATTAGAAGATTTGAGCATTATGCTGGTAATATTTTTTGTAGCTTATTAGAATCGTAGAATCATAAAACAGTTTGGGTTGGAAGGGACCTCTACAGACCATCTAGTCCAACCCCACTGCAATGAGCAGGAACATCTTCAACTAAATCAGGTTGCTCAGAGCCCTGCCCATCTCGACCTTGAACACTTCCAGGGATGGGGCATCTACAGCCTCTCTGGGCAACCTGTGCCAGTGTTTCACCACCCTCATTGTAAAACATTTCTTCCTTATATCTTGTCTAAATCTACCCTCTTTTAGTTTAAAACCATTACCCCTTGTCCTATCACAACAGGCCCTGCTAAAAAGTCTGTCCTCATCTTTCTTATAAGCCCCCTTTAAGTATTGAAAGGCTGCAATAAGGTCTCCCTGGACCCTTCTCCAGGCTGAACAACCCCAGCTCTCTCAGCCTTTCCTCATAGCAGAGGTGTTCCAGCCTTCTGATAATTTTTGTGGCCTCCTCTGGCCCCGCTCCAACAGGTCCATGTCCTTCCTGTGCTGAGGACCCCAGAGCTGGACGCAGGGCTC